CTCTCTCCCACTCTAACCTCTTTTTTTTTTTCTTTTTTCTTTTTTCCTCCCCCTCCTCCATGGGTTCCTGTTAAGTTTCTCAGGATCCACATAAGAGTGAAACCATATGGTTTCACTCTTATGTGGATCATGAGTAATTTTAAATTTTAACAGTGCCTTTTTATCAGAAACCTAATAAAAGTCTTCCAATTAAGAGTTGAAAATGTGGGGGTGCCTCGGTGGCTCAGTCGGTTAAGCGTCCAACTTTGGCTCGGGTCATGATCTCATGGTTTGTGGGTTCAAGCCCTGCGTCAGGATCTGTGCTGACAGCTCAGACATCTGGAGCCTGCTTCACATTCTGTGTCCCCCCCCTCTCTGCCCCTCCCATGCTCATGCTCTGTCTCTCTCTGTCTCTCAATAATAAATAAACGTTAAAAAAAATAATAATAAAAATAATAGAGTTGAAATGTGTAATATTGTTCTATTTTAATTATCTTGAAGTTTTATAAACTTTTCTTCCTCTCTACAAAATACATACAACTCCAAATAGAGAAATTCAGCCTCTGTCCCCTTGTTTAGGACAGTGCTACTTCTCATTCATATTTTTTCCTCTAAGTACAAGTTTTCTGACTGGCTCTTTTTTTGTTTTATTTTTAAAATTAATTAATTAATTAATTTTGAGAGAAATAGAGCATGAGCAGGGGAGGGGCAGAGAAAGAGGGAGAGAGGGAGAATCCCAAGCAGGCTCTGCACCATCAGCATGGAACTTAACACAGGGCTTGAACCCATGAACCATGAGATCATGACCTGAGCTGAAACCAAGAGTCAGATGCTTAACCAACTGAGCCACCCAGGCAACCCCTGACTGGCTGTTTTTAATATGTTCTTTTCAATGGAAATTCTGATATATGTTGACTTGCTTTATTCAACTTGTAGACCTCTAGTAACTACTGTATCCCAGGCATTGTGCTAGGAACTCTGATAGGAAAACTCTGTAAAGACTCAGATTAGCTTGGTATATTACATGTATATTGAAAAAGTAACCCTATAAAAAGGTATATGAAAGTCAAGATTAGGTCCATAAATGGACTGCTAGCAACATTGGTAATGATTTCACAATAGTCCAGTGAATGGACTCACCACACAGAACAATTTGTACATATTTCATTTTGAAAAGCATATATTAAAAATCCATATACACGGATGTGGGTGTGTGAAGAGGTGGGGAAAGAGAGAGACCTCATAATAACAGTATAATAATTGCTCAAAATATTACTCCTCTTTTGGAAGTTTCTGTTACTTTGCTTTTTTTCTGATTCCAATAGAAAACAAAAGGAGAAAATTATGGGATTTTACAAACAAGCAGAAAAATACAGATACATAGTTTACAAAGTTCTTTAGTTCATCTTGTAACAAAGTCTTCATTCTTTCTCTTAGACCAGAAGATCAATTCAGAAGTTATTAGAATGGGAAAATAACAGATTATATCACAAGGTAAGAAAGTTTAAACAAATAAGTGCCCCATTTATAGATTTGCATTATTAAGTTGAAAAAAATGGGATTTTTTCAGGCCACAAAAGAATTAATTAGAGAATTAATATTCAATTTTAATATATATTCTTTACAAGTTATTTTTAAATGCTATGTTATATATCTTATGCTTATACCTGGATGGTTTTCAGTGATTTATTCAAATGTTATAGGTAATATAAATTGATATAGAAATTCTTAACAAACTGTACTTTCTTAGCTTGCTTTGCACTGGAAGTTGACTAAAAGGAAATGCGAAACTAGCAATATGATGGAGTATGTAAGTATGCAGTTGTTTTTAGTTACTTTCTTTTGGATTCCATTCTAAATTTTTTTAATGTCTTTATTTATTTTTGAGAGATAGAGCATGCGCATGAGCCAGGGAGGGGCAGAATGAGAGGGAGACAGAATCCAAAGCAGGTTCCAGGCTCTGAGCTGTCAGCACAGACCTGGACTCAGGGCTCGAGCTCATGAACCTTGAGATCATGACCTGAGCCAAACGAAGTCAGACACTTAACCAACAGAGCCACCCAGGCGCCCCTGGATTCCATTCTAAATGTTACATTTCACTATGCTTATCATTTGTCAGTTCTTCTTTCTACCTTTTTCTCCTCAGCCTGAGCTTTTGTCAGTTGAAAAATGGAGGTTTCCTTCCATCTTCTTTAGATCTGTAGGCAACATAAAATATCTTGAAACCTAGGAATTACTTAGATCTTAGAAAAATTTCAGTTTGTATGCTCCAGTGAAAACATTGCACAGCCTTAATTTTCTTTTAATATAAGTGCAGACCATCACATGATGATGGACACAGCTGCTGTTGAACAACATATTTCTAAATGTTATCTTGTCAAAACTTGCATAAAGTAGGAATTGAGTTCTGAATTCTGGATTCATGTTCCTGGCTTTTTTTCTAAGCTGACATTTAATTTTTAACAAAGAAATTATAGGTTCTATTTTTTTTAAATGAAAGCTATGCAGTCTTAATCACAAAACACAAATTCACATATAGCCAAAGTGACAACTACAACATCATTAACACTCAAAAGATATGAAATTTATCTAAGCTTCAAGTTGCTGACATGTAGTCTGTATTTAATACATAAACGTTCCTTTTCTGTTTTATAAATAACGATTATTACATTATCTTTCTCCACTTTGAAAAGCTTAGGGAAAAAAATGTGCAAATGACTGACCACAAATCTCAAATCCACTATAGGCAAAAACCTTATATAAAATATTACAAATTTATACATTAAATTTATAAGTAAAATATTAAATATAAAATTAACATATACATTTATACAAGTTTATAAATATCTTAGGTTCTTATTACTGTATTTTCAACCTTTAATTAAAATATTTTAATCAATCCATTTGGATATTTCATTATTTTTTATAAACAACTTATAAAAGATAGTAGGAACAAATATCAGTTGCTTTAATTGAAAATATGTACATATAATATACAGAAAAGGTATTTTTTCCAATCTATATAACAGTTTTAACCTCTTCTACTTTGTTAAAAAAAAAAGAGGGTAGGAGGTGAAGAAGGACATAATAATGTAAGAGGGTTTGCATTTCTGCAGTTAAATAATTATTGTAAATTAAGTCATAGAAACTGTTAGCTACAATAAGTAGTTATGTTTGCCAGTTTAATTTAATTGCCAGTCTAATGATAACTTGTAGTAAATCCTTTTTATAACTGTTTTATATATTTAATTTACTTTATACTAGAGGACCAAAACACAGTCCTGTGAAAAATGATTATAGACTTTCTGGGTTATATATGTTATAGTAAATGCAAATTATTTTATCAATATATTCTTGTTTGTTTTTATTTTACAGGTTATACTAATAGAATTCTTACCAAAATATCCCATATTCCGACCTGACTGAGGAATTTTATTCAGTCACTTCTGTGTTACTTGTCATTTCCTACCCTTAGTGCCTTGTAGATGATTTTGGAATGAAGATGGTCTCCTTTGCTCTGTTCAACTTATTCTTTATTTCTTATTCTTATTCTTTAGAATATTCTCCTTACTCTTTTATTTATGTTGGTTTTAGAAGAAAATTTGCACATCTTTTTTTGTTGTTGTTAAATGAGGCTTGTGTTTTGCACTTTCAATTTTTAAATAAATACACAGAGACTTATATGTATATATATAGTTGCCACTAAAGATAAAAAACATCAGTGCCGGTGTTTCAAAAAAAAAAATTGTTCTGAGCATGCTGCCTTATAATTTTCATACTCACTGTTTCTTAAATATGCATCATTTTTCTAGGCTATTTAATGCTCTGTAATCCCTTACTGGACATAAGTAAATAAGCTTTTGGTAGCTTTTAGAAATGGTTTTACTCTTACTTGCTTTTAAAGGACATGCGATTAATAGCACTGGTTTTGTCCTGCACTTTGCTAAATTATCACTTATGTTAGTGGATAAAATATTTAAACTCTTAAAAGACTTGTAAATATTGTCTCTTTGCATAACAAAATGTGATATGCCATGGTTTACAGAATGTAATATTACTCTTACTGTATTGCCAACAAATCTGCATAGATTTTAATATGAATGAAGTTTGCAAGCATCCTTTTGAATGTATAGACTGTTCACATGTTTTATGGCAGAGCCATGAGTTTGTTAAAATTTCAGGTGTAGGGCAGGATTGCCCTTTCTAATGAGTGGATTAAAATTGAAGTTGTTGTCTGAGATATTCTGCATTGCACCTGAAACCAAGAACCTTACTTTTTCCATTTAATTTAATAATATCCATTTTGTCCTCCACTCCCACCCCCCAAAAAATTCATTTGATATCCAACCAACACATTTCACAGCCTCGCTGTACTTATTTCCTGTTATGTATCCTTTCCCCCTTTTGAAAATACACCCAGTTATCTTTAAGGAGTATTTCAAGATTTCAGATGTCTTGGGAGGTGTCTAGATCTTCATGAAAGCCACTGCTAATCCCTTTTTGGAGTTCTGATATTCTGCTTTGGGAAAGAGGGAGAGGTAATTGAGAAGCTGTACTTAAAGAATACAGTGGCTGATTCATAATTGATAAAATATTCTTTATATTTTTGATGATCTTTTTTAAACATTTAGGTATTATTAATGAGGAAAGACAAGTACTTATACAAAAAGTATTTTAGTTTATAAATTCACCACACATGTAGCCTTTTCACTGACATGTACATATTTCTCTTTCTCCTCCCAAGTAAGATGAGTGAGAACACCACACTTAATTTGAATTTTTAACATAATTAAAGCTTTATATTGTGTTAATTGAACTGCAAATGTATGCCTGTATATAGGCATTATTTGTAATTCCTATTGCTAAAAAGAAATTAAAAGTATCTGAGACTGAATAATATCCTATTTGTCATCTTACTAGTTTTAGTAAAACTTTTTGGACAAACGTTTATCCCAGTGAACAGAACAGTCATTTCTTCATAAAAGGTCAAGTCTTTAAAGCCATTTTTAAAATTTATGCCTAATTTGAAATCCACGGTCCTGGACCAATAGAAGAAGAGGGGAAAAAGCGACACTGTTTGATCTATGACTGTAATTGTTTGCACACTTTTCCACCTCCCTCTGTAGAACCCCATTACCCCCATGCCACCAAGCCATCCAGAATCTTTAACTTTTAATATGTGTGCCTGTAAATATCATTTGTCTGTCTGCTGCAAAATTAAATATGTATTTTTATAGACAAGGTGGAAACCTCTAAAAATGCATACCAAATGTCTTGTTTTATAGCTAAGGTCAGGGAAAAATTGTATCTGTGGTTTATGCTCCAGCTAATATTATCAGGTTTATGCTTCAAACTGTGATTGTGTAATACCAAATTGATTTCCAGAATACAACATTCCTAATTACCAATGATAGAATAATTTTAAGTGTCAATCCTTAAAATTTTATTTTTTTCTGTATACTTAGAATCCGGCCATGTGATGGTCATAGTAACTTTTCTGCCATATATAAATCACACTTGGTTTTGCTCAAAGAACAGCACGAAGTGGTGAACTGTTTCTATGAAACAAATATTGAGACAGAAATTGAGTGCATCTGGAGGTGACAGAATATAACTTGACTTACAGTAACATTTGTCATAAAAAATCATTTCCCAGCATTTGTAAACTTTTTTTTAATACCTCCTCTAGTTGCTTTTAAATGTATTATTTTATTGTTCATTATGCTGGTTGACTCATCTTATTTTCTTGAACTACTCAGAAAATACACAATTTTCTTTCTTCTTTCTTATATGACTGCTTTTCCAAACTATTTTCCTATGAAGCAGGCTGATTAGCAGTTGGGGATTTTGGAGTGCTTTGGTGGAGGGTGTTTTCTTTTCAATGAAATTGGCAGCAGTGAATGATGAAATGGCAAAGCACAATGTGGTCATTAATTACTCCCCCATTGACCTTTTTTTTCTTTTATCCTCAGGATAAAGCATACTTGGATATTTCTGTCAAGTTAGCAGAATATTTTTGTGAAAGCTGTTTTTAGGTTTAATAAAGTAATTGGGAATTTCTTTGTTACATGATATTCTTTTATGAAACCTGCTGTGGTAGTTTCCAGAGAAAATAACATCTAGTTTCCAAAGTATATAAATCTCCCAAAGCTTTGAAGTTGTAAGCTAAAACCATTGCTTCTTTGACTTCTGTTATGCATCTCCCTCCCAATGCCCCTTTAAACAACTAAATTATGTAGAAAATGAAATTAAGCCCTAACCTTTTTCAGCTACTCTCTGTTCCCTCCTACCCACTCTATTAATTTAGGAAAGACACCATTGTAGTTGAACATTAGAAGCAGACGGAGAAGTGCCTTGTCTTTTTTGAACAAAGATAACATTTTATGTTGAAGGAACCAGAATGAATGAATTGGTAGATCATTAGATTTAAAACCATCCTTTTCAAGTATTAGAATATTTCACTAGCATATTATATTTCTTCTATTTATTATTTAAAGCATGTTTCTTTGTTTTCCCCTAATCATATTATGTTAGTGTTAAAATATTACAGGACTATCAATCACTTACAAAACTGGTATAATTCTAATGTTAGTAAATATGTAATTCAACATGGTTCTGAAAAAACAATGGTCTTTGAAGCCCTACAAAAACCCCTTAAGTATTTAATATACATACTATTTATATTATGATCTATAAACACTAATGTCTGATCAGTTAATCTGTGTTAGCATTTAACACTCTGCCATTTTTAATGAAATTCTTATTTTTTCATAATTTGACTGACATTACGTAACATTTGTAAGGCATAGAACAAATAAGGTTTTTCCAAGTGTATGAGAGCTTTTAAAAATTATTAGCATTTTAATTTTGTTTACAAATAAACTACCACTTAAAAAAATCAAACCTCACTACTTGAACATAATAACCCCAAACAATACTTCATTAGAATGAACTATGTTGACCTAGGGGGATGTAGAAATTATATACACTCATTTAACTGGAGTAGTTTCACATATGGAAATACTTTTTGCTAATTGGATTATAAGATGCCCAAATTCATCAAAGCTAAGTCCTCTTATGCCTATAAAATTCTGCTTTAAAAAAATTCATTTTGCAACAATTGTCAAATTGTTCAGGTTCCTTTAAATGATGAACTATTGGGAAATTTTCCACAGAAAAGGAATATATTTTGTTAATAATACTTGTTCATGTAATATGGAGACTGAAAAAGGGGATATGTATATCCTTATCTTGCCCCAAATTTCTCTTTTGTGATTCTGAGCCAGGCTTTTCATGTTGATGATGGCAACATGAGAATATATTCCATTATATGTGGACTTCATCAGATTCATACTATATGAGGAAATTATCTATTATGGGCTTTGGACGATTCACTTAAATTACATGTCAGTCTCTTTATCTATAAAGTCATGGGGTTGAACTTAGAGCTGGACAGAAAATTAGAGATGACCTAACATTCTGTGATTCTAGGAATCCTTAGGAAAATTTTATTCTACAGAATCTCAGAATGATTTTTCTCAGAACTACTACCCTTGGTGGAAATTCTCACAGTGCCTTGCACACAATAAATGTTTGATTTGCCAACTGGCTCCCAGTTCATGTGTGTTCATGTCACACAGACTCAAAGAACTGATACCTGCTAGACCTCAGCCCCTCTATGGTGATAAAAATAAGTGTAGTTTCCCTAGGAACCGAGGACTAAGGTCTGTGAGCTTTGCATATGTGGAATCTGATTATGCATTTGGTATCCAGGCAAGAATTATAACTGTGACAATAATGGAGATATGGGAGGACCTATTTTGACAATGATGTGAAAAGTTTCATATCCTGTCCAATATTTGCTTCAGTGTCTTACCAATTTCCACATCCTCAAAAAGATTTATTGGAACAAATTGATGTTAGATGGAAAGAAAAGTAGTATGGAATTCAAACCCAAATCATTCTGGTTTAATTCTTAGCTCTGCTGCTTAATTCCTCTGTACCTCATGTCCTCATTGTGGAAGTGGGGACAATAATCTGGACCTACCTCACAGGGGAATTGAGGATTTTTTTTCATATATTAATGTGCTTTTGAAGTTGACTGAAAGATATACTGAATATCATAATTTTGTAATTTCTAAACACATTCCTTTAAATCTATGTTGTTATGTTTTCTTTCTCAGTCAAACCCTACAGAACGAGTGTTGCAGTTAATCTATTTTATCAGTAGCAAATTTTGTTATTAATCCCCTATATGTTAACATGAGTAATTGTGTTATGTTAATTAATTCTTGACTTAGGGAGGAAAAGCAGGTGGATGTAAACCAATGGTTCCCAACTTGGGAAAGATAAAGATAGCAGTGGGGACATCCTTGAACCTTTTTTATATTTCAAAAAGTATACCAGGAATCATACATTTATCTATA